AACTATTAATGACATACAGTATCAATAAACATTCTGTAGTTTAAACCTCTGATCCTTTCAGTCACAATGGGACATCAAAAAAAAAGTAATACTCTTGAATAGTTTCTAGACAGTATTTCTTTTCTAAGGACACAGATATTTCTATTTCATCGTGCAGCATTTTACATAATCCACAGACAAGAAGCAATAATCACTCTTACATCACCACTCTCAGCAACTACTTTTTCATCCAAAAGAGCACATTAATACAATGTGGACATGGCCCAAGGTCTATCTACTGTTGCAAAACTGGAGTTGGATATAGCAATTTAGAGATACGAAGACAACAAATCAGTGCCTGTAAGTAACAGAAGCTTTTAGCCTACAAAAAGGGTCATGATACTGACAGTGATTATTTCAATAAAAGAAAGCAACCAGAAGGGTCCTGTAGATTGAAACTACTATTTCATTAAAATCATTACTTACTGGGCATGATTATTTTAAAACCATTATTGTTGAGGTATTACATTTCTGTAATTTTCCATAAAATTAAGATATCTGAGTCCACTGTATATAAAGTTAGCATACCACTCAAAGTCAAGAGATGAAAATTGGTTTTCATTTATTCTAAATCACAATTTTTTTCAGCTCCTTCTAAATCTTATTAAATAATGTACTTATAAAACAAGCTAATACATATAAGGCATGAGGAGCCAGCACACAGAAAGCAGTGAATAAACGTAAGCCAGAATTATCATTTAAATACTAGTGCTTCATGCTAATATAGCCGGTTGTAATGAATCATCATGTGGCAATCTCCTCCATACATAATATCTACCAATATATCACCTTTCATATGATATTCAAAACACAAATCCACTACCAAATGCCAGATTAAGTTACACTGAGGTTTTGTAATTAAAATTATATAGACAGAACAAATGGTCCTTTATTCTCTACCACATTCACATTCTCCAAGATGACCATTCCATCCATTCCCCTCACCCCCTAAATTGTTAGTTTTAATTTATAGCTTTGAGGTATAATTTATACATTACACAATTCAACCATGGTAAGTGTACAATTCACTGAGTTTTAAGAAAATGTACAGAGTTGTGCATCTCCACCACATCCCACCTTTAGAACTTTGCTATCACCCCCTAAATTTTCCTCCAGAGTGTTTCCAGTCCTGCCCTGGCCTTGGGTACCCACCATTCTTTCTGTATAGATTTGCCTTTTCTAGACATTTTTTTTATCAGTGCAGCCACACAATACGTACTCTTTTTGTGTTTGGCTTCTGTCACTTCATGTTTTTGACATTCATCTTTGTTATAATGTTTTTCAATAGTTTGTTTCTTTTTATTACACATTAGTATTCCATTGTATATACCGTATTTTCTTTATCCATTCACCATTTGAGGGACATTTGGATTGCTTTCCAATTTTTGACTATTGTGAATACTACTGCTAAATGGACATTCGTAATTCTTTGTGTGCACACATTTTCATTTCTGTTAGGCAGATTCCTAAGAGTAGAAATGTTGATTTTTATGGTATGCATATGTTTAATTTTTTAAGAAACAGCCAAACTTTTCCAAAATGGCTGTATCATTTACATTTCCAAGAGTAGTGTATAAGGATTCCAGTTTCTCCACAACACCAACACTACATAATGTCAGTCTTTTTATAGTCAGTTAAGTGGGGTGTGGCAATATATCACTGCAGTTTAATTTGCATTTCCTTAATGACAAATGATGTTGAACATCATTTCATATGCTTACTGGCCATTCATAATATCTCCGTTGGTGAATTATCTACTAAAGTCTTTTGCCAATTTTTTAATTGGGTTTTTTCTTTAAAATTGAGTTGTAAGATGTCTTTATATATATTCTAGATTGTAGACCTTTACCAAATTTGTAATACACAAATATTTTCTGCTGTGGCTTGTTTTTATGTTTTTTTCAGTATCTTCCTAAGTATAAAAAGCTTTAAAACTTCATGAAAGAAGTTCAATTTATCAGTTTTTTCTTTTATGATTCATGCATAATTGGTGTCATATCTAAGAACTGTGCATAACACAAGGTCACAAAGATTTTCTATGTAATCATATAAAATTTTTATAGTTTTAGGTTTTACAATTACGAATTTACAAAGTCTGTGATTTACTTTGAGATAATTTTTGTGTATCATGTAACATACATACAATAATATGTCTACATCCATTTTTTTAAACATTCAGATATCCAGTTGCCCCAGCACCATTTATTGAACAGACTCTCTTTTCCCCATTGAATTGTTCTGGCACTTTTTCAAAACCCAAGTGATCATAATAAATATAAAGGTTAATTTCTGGACTTTGTTTTGGCTATTCTAGGTCCTGTGCTTTTCCTTCCAAATTTTAGGAACAGCTTGAAAATTTCTACAAAAAGTCTACTGGAATTTCGATACAAATTTTATTGACTCTATAGATCAATTTGGGGAGACGTGCCATCTTACCATTCAATCTTCCAATCTATGAACAGACTAACTCCCCATTTGTTTAAATCTTACTTAATTTCTCTCAATAATGTTTGTAATATAGACATCTCAGTGTCTTTTTTGTTAAAGTTTTTTCCTAAGTATTTTATTCTTTTTGATGCTACTGTAGAAAAGATTTTCTTCTTTCATATTCAGATTGTTCCTCACTATTAAATTGTTAATCTTGCCTCCCTTTGTGGAAAAGAAGAAGCCACTAGGCTAGAGCATCCTAATTTCCCTCCACCAAATCTCTACACCCACAGGCCTCTACATCCAGCTTCTTCCTTCTTCCCTCCTTTTAAGCTTGTGGAGGTAACCCATTTCCTATCAAAGAACTGTTAACCAGTGTAGTCAGGAGTCTAGATCATTCTTGCTTTCTCAAGGAGTTCTCTCTTCATCTTCCTTCCTTCCTTTATTAATCCTAACAACTAAAATCATGCTGCAGTATTCCTTACACTCAAAAAACAACAACAAAAAAGACTTCGCTTACATCCTCATGCCTCTACTTCGGCCCTGTGTCTGTTTCCTTTAACTTCTTTAAAAAGCTATCTATACACTCAGTGGCTAGTTCCTGGGCCATCACGTATCCCTCAAGTCACTCAAATCTGGCTTCCATCTCTACCAGTCCATGAAATTGGCTCATTATAGTCACTGATGTCCTTTAGGCTACCAAATCCAATGGCCATATTTCTGCCCACATTTTTTCAACCTCTCAGCCAAACTTGATAGTTAACGATCCTTTTCTTAAAAGCTTGTATTTATAATTTTAAAATTCATGTACATGAAAAAATATGGAAAGCTTCACAAATCTGCATGTCATCCTTGCACAGGGGCCACAGTGACCTTCTCTGTGTCGTCCCAGTTTTAGTACAGGTGCTGCTGAAGCGAGCATATCAGAGTTCTACCCCTAACCAATCCTTCTTTCCTTTCTATATTTTCCTCTTCAGTGATTTCACCTTTTTTCCATGGCTTTGAATATCACTAATACACTGACAATCTTCAAACTGACATCTACAAGCCAAATATCTCTTGAGTTCTCAGTATGTGTTGATCCTCTCTGATAGAGGCCTACTTAATCCCACAGGCTTCTGAGAATTTAAGATTGACAAAAGAAATCTCCTGAACTCACCACTACCCTTCTACCAAAATAAAACAAAACCCCCCTCAAAAACCCATCCCTCTTCCAGTCACTTCCAGCAACATTCCTGAGTTCTCCACCCTTATATTTCACATCCAATCCATTATCACGTCCTCCCATTTCTCCCACCTACTCACCATCTTGGGTATGTCCACTCCCCTCCATCCTACTGCCACCTCACTAGTCTAAGCCCCCATCACCTCCCACCTGAATTCCTGCATATCCACTGGCCAGTCTGTTTCTGCTTGCCTCAGTATTCTGTTCTTTACACAGCAGGATAGCCTCTGACAAATATAATTCAAATGGTACCACTCCCCTGAATAAAAGTTTTCAGCATTTTAAAATCCAAACTCCTAA